CGCGCCGCCGCCTTCCCGCCTCCTGCTTCCCGCGGCTGCGGCCGCCCGCGCCCTGACGGCTGCGGTATGCGTATTCCCGTAGATCCGAGCACCAGCCGCCGCTTCACTCCCCCCTCCACGGCCTTCCCCTGCGGCGGCGGTAAGATGGGCGAGAACAGCGGCGCGCTGAGCGCGCAGGCTGCCGCGGGCCCCGGCGGCCGCACCCGGCCCGAGGTGCGCTCGATGGTGGACGTGCTGGCCGACCACGCGGGAGAGCTCGTGCGCACCGACAGCCCCAACTTCCTCTGCTCGGTGCTGCCCTCGCACTGGCGCTGCAACAAGACCCTGCCGGTCGCCTTCAAGGTGAGTGCGGGGGGCGGACGGGCCGGGAGGACATGGAGGAACCTGGGCTCCCCCATTGCAGGAGCCCAGGCCGGGGAGGACATGGGGAACATCAGACATGGAGGGAGATGACACCCAGCTGGCAGGACATGGGGGTGCCCAGGCGCCCCTGCTGCAGGATCCCAGGCCCGGAAAGATCCCGGAATGGACCCCGCTGGACCCTAGACGACTCCTGTATAAGAGCCCAGACCACCAGAGGACATGCGGGTTGGGAGGAAAGGAGGCACCCAGCCAGTAGGACGCAAGGGTGCATGGTCACCCACGCTGCAGGAGCCCAGGCCAGGAAGGACATGGAGGGAACCTGGGTGTCCCCTCTGCAAGAGCCCGGGTTCAGAAAAATATGGTGTGCCTCAGTCAGGGAAGATATGGGAGGGCGGCCAGGAGAACTGGGCGGGGGAATCCTCCAGCCGCTCCCACTGCAGGAGCCGGTACCGGGGACCCCGCGTTGAGATCTGTGCACCGGGGCCTCGCTGCCCACAGGACACGGGGTCTTGGGGCGCTCCCTCTCGGATGCACCAACAGCTTGGAGGGGCCATACCTCTCCACCTGGCCCTGCGTAGTATGGCGACGTGGAAACGGGATGATTGGGACTTCCAGATTCCTCTGGCACAGCCTAACCCGTAACCGGGAAGAGGATCGCCCGAGCTGGGCAAGGCCCCCGGAGGTGTGGGGTACAGAGGGCGAGGAGGGCCAGGCCTACCCCGCGGCGCCGCACCTCCTGCGCGGCTGCAGAAACACTTCCTTCCCACACTCTCCACCTCGGGTGGCTGATATTTTGCTCTGGGCGACCATAGGCCGATCCTGGAGCGCGGTTCCCTAAAGGGCTGCCTCCCGCAGAAGTCTGCGTCCTGAATGACAGGCTGGGACGCCATCATGGTAGCCCCGAGTCGTTCAGAGAGGTTTTTTTTTTTTTATTTTTTTTATTTTTTTTCAAATATGCCAGGGATAGGCAAGTGTTTCATTTTCTTCTTTCTTTTTCTTTCTTTCTTTTTTTTAAAAGGGGGGCAGCCAGATGAAACGAAAACGCCTTGGTTTTCCCCTAAACCTCTCGCAGCTGCCGCGAGAAAGGGCAAGGCAGGAAGGGCCGGCGGCTGGGGAGGTGGCGGTGCCCGAGGTGGCTGGAAACGCCGGCTGCTGGCAGCTGAGGCCCTCCTTGCTCCCATTAAGACTTCAAATTGAAAAGGGGGGGGGGGAGAGACTACTGACTCTTTGAGGTCTCCCGGGTGACATCTTAAAATACCAGCGGGGGAAATCTCCCGGGGAGGAGGGGGAGGAGGCCCGTGTGACTGTAATCGTCAGATCGGAGGTTTTAGTGTCACTTGGAGCTTAAAAGGAATCTTTGAAATTAAAAGAAGACAGGATGTTGACAGGAAATCTGGCCTTTTTAATCAGACCCCAAACATTTTCTCCTTGAAATCTTTACCATCTGGATCCCCAGTCCCTGCACACGGCAGCCACGTTTAAATGGCTGTGACTCTGTTTCAAGTCTGGTTCAAAAGGCATCTGCCTCTTGGTGTGCCATGGGTGGGGTGGGGTAGGGGGGAAGAGATGACATTTGAGGGGACAACTCCACCCACCCTTCCAGCGGTTCCCAGCAGGTACATGCTTAGTTATCAAAACCGGGGGTTTTCTGGGTCAGCTTGCAAAACAGCAGTTCTGTTTTGCAGTTTGCATTTTCTCCGCATAACGAATCCAGACTCTGCTGAGGCTATTTCACTGGGCCTTGGCCGCATGGCCGGGCCAAATTTCATACCCTAAAGGGCGATGCATTAACTGAGACCAAGGAATACCCCCGATGTTATCATTGCTGATGCTTTTGCAAGGATTATGTAGTCTTCTTTAGCGCCCCGCCCTTAGCGCTGACCTTGCTGATTGCCGGCTTCAGTTTAGATTCAATTTAATAAAAAAGGATGGTTTCTCGGCGCTCACGTTAACCACTGGACCCAGGATTTGGGTATGGAGGGTTAACCACTGGACCCAGGATTTGGGTATGGAGGGTAGAGAGTTTATCATTTAGGTCTTGTCTACGGAGAAGGATCTGCACCATTAAGCCTCTTCTACCCCAGCCTCCGAGAGAGCTTCAGTGAGCCTGGGATCTCGGGGAGCAGCTGGGTGCACCCCTTCCTTTTGGCCTTTCTAAGCTGTCCTCTTTCCTGCCGGTTTCCTCAGGTGGTGGCCCTGGGGGATGTACCTGATGGAACGGTGGTGACAGTGATGGCGGGCAATGATGAGAATTACTCCGCCGAGCTGCGGAATGCTTCCGCGGTCATGAAGAACCAAGTGGCCAGGTTCAACGACCTTCGCTTCGTGGGTCGGAGCGGACGAGGTGAGCAGGAGGGACCCTGGGATGGTAAAGGTGGGGACAGGAATTGAAGGAGGCCTCTGGGTCTCAGCAAGAGCCCCCGAAACAGGTCTGCGAGCCCAGCACTTCTGAAGAGCAACTCTCCGTCCCGTAGGCAGGCATTACACCGCCCTTTTATGTGGATATGTTTATGGTCCCTTACTGGTAGAGTTTTCTCCCAGGTTCCAGGGTTTAGCAACTCTTAAAAGTCTCTAGTGCCGCCGCCGACTTTTCCCATTCGCATCCCTGATCTCACAGAAGATGTTGGGAGAAGGTCCTGTGCGCACAAGCTCAAGCAGGGTGTGGATGTCTTTTGGTTGGGGCCGAGGCACCCCAGCAAATTGCCCCAGGGTCAGGAGGCCCCCTGTGGTCTCCCGAGAGCTCTGGGCTTCTTCAGGTACCTTCAAAAAGAGGAGAATTCAGGGTGGGATGATGAATGTTGGAAAGAGAAGTTTGAAGGCTACCATCTCAGCCCCAGGCTCACGCTGGTGGCTGCCGTCAGTCTGATCCACCCCGGGGAGTGGCAAGAAGGCAGGACCAGACGCCACAGTGGCTGCCGCCAGGGGCTGTTGAGTGGGAGGTTGCTGGGGACCCGAAACCAGTCATCATGTAACTTTGGGGTGGAGGGGCCCTCCCTGTTCCCATGCCCTGAGGATAGGAGGATCTGCGGCTTTAAGACTAGCCTGCTGAGAAGCGGCTGCGCCTGGAAGGGGATGTGCAGTCACCTTGCGAAGCTCAGGGAGCCCTCCGGGGTTAGGAAGTGAGCTGGCTCCCGGCTGCCATGGCTGGAGCAAAATGGTCCTTTTCAACACCAATAAACAAGACCTTCTCAAGGCTGGAGTTCCCTGGGAGCCGCCAGCCTGCTCCCACTGGGCATCTGGGCACCATTTTGCTCTCTGCAGCCATACAGTATATACATACAAATGTCAAACATATTTTTTGACTTTTCAGCATTAATTAAAGCCAGAGCGTTATTTGCATGTAATAACTGTTTACTTGTTACTTTTTATGAAACTGAAATAGTTTACATTCTTTCGAACATTTCCTGTTCCTGTTGGCTCCCTTCCCCATGCGCAGATTTCTTTCAAACGTCGTCCTTAACTGGCTGCAGGTTGATGGATGGAAAATGTTTGCTTTTATGAATTAAGCTCTCATGGCTGCTCCTAATTAGTCTCCAAGCCCCTTTTGTCATCCCCGGTCCCTGAACCCTTTGCAATTCAATCGAAGCCCGGTCCCGGAGTGGAAGCCACTGGGACAGGGCCCAGGTGAGGGGGCACAGTGTAGCATTTTGTCCCTAGGGAAGTTGGTAGAAAGTGAAGTGGTGTCCCGGAGCCGCCCCCCCCCCAAGGCGCTAAGCACTCTGGGCTCCCTTCTCCCTCCACACTCTCCCTCTCCCGGGAGGTAACAGGAAAATAAAAAGGTGATGAGTCTCTGATGTACTGTGGCCTCTCTACCTACTGAGAAGTATTTTTGCTTTATTTTGAGACAGTCTCCGTAATATAGGCTGGCCAGGGACTTGTTACGTAGTCCAGATTAACCCCAGGTTTTTTCACTGCCTCAGCCTCCCGAGTGCTAGGATTGCAGGTGTGTCCTGCCACACCTATCCCTCAGAGGATTTCTTAGCAAATCATGCCACCCACAGACAAGGGCCCAGGCTCTGAAGGCCTCTTGGGGAGAGACATGTTTCTAGGGTGTCACTGAACTGCAGCTCTTGGATCTTTGGAGGCTGGGTCTGGGGCAGTGGCTTCAGTTAAAATGTTCAGTTAAAAGTTAAAGTGTCCAGCCTCTCGCCAGCCTCAGTGGTCCCGGAAGCGAGGAGGAAGCCGCAACCCCATACCCCTGGAACTCTGTACCGAGTGCTCTTGGCTCTTGCTTTTCCAGTCTGAGCTCTAGGGTAGCTGACCTGGGCCTCAGTTCCAAACCGGCTAAGGACTTGCTGGATAGCTTTAGGGAATCGACTTAACCTCTCTGCACCTCTGTTTCCTTCTCTGTGAAATGGGGAGGGGGTGATAATGGCACTTTTTAATGAGCTATGGGGTGGACTAAGGACACCGAGACTAGTGAAGGTTCTCAGGTACCGAGAGTTGGGTACCCGGTAGAGATTTAGTTCTTGAAATGGTTGGCACTGAGAGCCTTTGAGGTCTCTTTGAGGCACTGCCACTCACTGATTCTCTGATTGCTGTGTGGTTTGGCCGGCCGGGGGTGGGGGAAACCCAGAAGGTGTGCACTGTTGAGTGGGAGAGGTGGATGGGCTGATGTGGGGAAGGCGGTGGAGGTCCAGGGTGCAGGGTGGCCACACCTCTGCCATGCCTGTCCCAACAATTGGGAAATTCCCCTTGAGGACATTCCTCTGATTAACACGGAGAATCTGGGCCACTTTAGGTCGGGATAGAGAACCCCAGAATCTTCCCTGGTTCTTTGATATCTGCCAGGACTAAGAATCCTAGATGAAAATTTCTATGTAGCTTGTTTTTGTTTGTTTGTTTGTTTGTTTGTTTGTTTAAATTCCTGATTTCTGTCTGAATCCCAGAAAGATCACTTTTCCGCTTTCCATAAAAGACAGGACAGGCATGCACCAGCACCCTGGAACTCTGGCTGCAGATGTGAACCCAGATGAGAGCAGGCCAGACTCTGCGGGCTGCAGCCCCCCACCCCCCTGTCCTGAATGTCTGTATTCTGTACTTTAGCTTCTTCAGACGTCATCCAGTTCCTGAATCTCTGTCCCTCCATAGCTATAAGGAAAAGAAAAGAAAAATCATTCAGGGCCGATGCACATTTGAATATGTAAATGCCCTGTGAGACCACGCCTCTTCAACATGGGCAGTGCGACCTTCCCAGAAGCCCCTTGACACTGGGTGACAGGATTCAGAGTGTGACCGTGGCCTAGCTGTCATTCTGTGCCAGGACTTGCTGAAGATGAGAAAATTCTCTGCAGAGCTATGAACAGTGCTTTGTGGGGGGTTATTGTTTTGTTTTGTTTTTACGGTGCTAGGTATCAAAGCATGGCCCTGACTCATGCTAGCCAAAAGATATTACACTGAGCCATATTCACACACACACACACACACACACTCAGATAAAAACAAAACAAGACCCCATCCTCTGAAAAATTTAGTAGTTATTAAAAGAACCCCAAAGTTTGCTTTAGTGTAGGTAAAACTGAGTTAGGTTCATGGCTCAGGAAGATGTTTGTTGGTTTTTTGTTTTGTTTTGTTTTTTTAAGCACATTTTTTCCTTCCTGGGAAAAATTAATTCTTTGTGGCCCTAGGCAGTACTGGGCTTGTGTGTACTTACACACACTCACTCACCTGTCCACATGTCCATGAACTCTAGCTTGCACACATCTCCCTCTAGGATTGATGCTCTCTTGGCCTGTCCCCAGCTTGTTTTCTAGAAGGCAAAGTAACCGCTGGCCTAGGCACAGATAAGTCACTCAGAGCATGCCACTGACTGGCTAAGACGTAGCTGAGGTGTGTGGAGAGAGACGTAGGGTGAGAGCCGTAGGTGCAGGCTGACGGGACCGCTAGACGAGGGATGGACGGTGTCTTGCTGAAGCTGAGAGGCTGTGGAGCTGAGGCGTGGCTCCCAGAGTCCAGGCAGACCCTGCAGGCTGAGCTTGTCCCGGTCATGCTTCCTAACCCACTTGAGGTTGCTGGTGGGTGAGGCTACAGAACGTACTTGTTTCATACACCCGAACAGTACAGCCTTCTCCACTCCAGCTGGGACCAGCCCTTAAAGTTCCTTGAGTGCCACTCCTGGCCCTGTGGCCTGGCCCCACTGCATGGTCGCTGGGCTGCTGCACAGCCATGCACCTCCTCCATCTTCCTCTCAACTTCCTGCTCCAAAAGAGAGATGCTCACGCTGCGTTCCACCAGAGGGGAGAGCTGGGCGCTGAGGGCAGCTTGCCCCGCCCAGGTTTCTCAAGGTTTCTCATGCTCCTAGGCCTCAACCCTGATGTCCTGATTCCCTTTCCTCTCTGTGGGTAGCTGAGAAGGCAAGGAACTGTTGAGGTCTGCTGGTGACCTCAGGGGCGGCGTGTGGTTTGCTCCCTGGGGCAGGAGGGGAGGGGAGTAGCAGGTGTTTCGTTGGGAGGGGGCAGCTGCCGCAGACTCTGGATCTTGCCTGGATACTGGGTGAGCTGACCAAACACAGTCCCTCTGTGGGCCTCAGTCTTTGCATCTGAAAAACTGCTGTGTTTAAAATAGTTAATTCGGTCTCTATGACATCCTGGGTGGCCTCCTGGGGCCTGGGGGCAATAGGGTGACCCTTCTGTGAGCTCAGCACCTAGGAGAGGGAGAGAAAGCCAGCTTGAAGATGGATTCTGAAGGGAACTTTGCAAGAAAGCTTCGCGAGGGTTCCGGGGTGGGGGGGGGTGCATGGGGCTACAGAGGGGGCAGCTACCTGGGAGGGGTCGTGGTGCTTGCCACTCTGTGGAACAGATTCCGTAGTAAGCTCTAGCCTTGGGTCTGACGATGACCATAATGTTGACTTTATGACGAACATTGAGGGTGTTCGGGAAAATCTGTAAGGGCTATCGCGTGATCGCTGAATGCCGGTGTAGCTGGCTGGTGACAAGGTCACAGGTACTGCTCATTAAACTTCTGTGGCTTGTGGCTTGCACTCTGGCTCGAGAGAGGCTCTCCCAGTTAGGGACTGGGAACAATACTATTGCAAATTTTCCTATCCCAGATCCCTGGCCTGCTCTGCGCTAAGAAGGGTCAACCACAGAGGCTAAATTGAAAATGTCCACTTTGTTTGTCTGGCGTTTTGTGCCCTGGGGATGGAACTCAGGGCCTGAAGCACTCTGGACAAAGCTTCCACCATTGAGTCATCCCCCCCAACCCCCCAACCCCGCCTCTGAAGTGTCACCTTTAAATAAAGTGGCCGGGGAAAGCCCTCATTGAGAAAGTGACTCTCAGTACAGACTTAGTCTCAGCAGCCAGGGTTCCAGCCTGCCCCCCCCCACCACCTTCATTGTGGCCCCAGAAGCAATGAGGTCAGAGAGCCAGCCTGCTTCCCCCTGGCACCCCGTTGGTTGGGAGGAGGAGTCTAGGAGAGAAATGTCGTCAACATGAGAAGACCCAGAGAGGAGCGTCCCAGAGGGGAGCAGAAAGGAGTCTGAGGCCACCTGCCCTGTATTGGCCTAGACTGTCTGCAGTTCTCTTTCCAGAAATGAGGCAAATGGCCTCTGGCCTGAGGGTGAGGGCCAAGCTGGCTTTCCTAACTAAACCTCCAAGAATGGATGCCTTAGCGTTTGCATCCTGACCTCTGCTGCCTGCCTCCGGGACCTTCTTCCACTGAGGGATCTATTCCCCAGGGTACTCCGACTGTACTCACCCGAATCCCAGAAGCCCTTGGGTTTGAAGGCTCAGCTGGCTGGCCTAGCTGCCTTAGCCACGCTCAGGCATCTCCTGTTTCCCAGGGCTAGAATTTTCCCTTGAGCAAAGAGAACATTAAGATGGCTTCGGCTCTCTTGTGCAGCAGGCCTGTGGAAGCTGGCCCGCCCCTTAGGGCACCATTAGTGAGACCTGTCTCCAGCAGGCTCCTGGGAGCCACTCCGAAGAGGCCCAAATGCCTGGACTTGGGCTGCCCATGGGGAGTTCCCAAGCTTCTAACTCGGGTTGACAGATAGCTCCAGAGAAGCAAGCCGGGTCGAGGGGAAGTCAGGCTTGGGTATCTGTGGAGTCCCCGCCTCACTCCAGTCTCATCTTCAATTGTCACGGTGCTACACTAGCCTAGACCCCGAGAGACCCACAGAGACGCAAAGCTCTGGACGCAGCCCAGTGTACAAAGTGACAGAATGACCAACATGCTAAAAACAAAAAAAACAACAGACTTGCCCTCCGACATCCCCTCACCTTGCAGGCCAGAGAGAGCCTTCACGGCAGAGTACCTTGCAAGTACGCACACCTTCATCTTTTCCCTGACTGGAGAGACCTGTCTAACACTGAGATAGAAACAAAGTGTGAGGAAGGGCTGAAGTTAGAAATTGGAGTGTGGCGGCGGCCATCACCCAGACAGCCCCTGGCTGTGGACGAGCTTATGATGGAGCAGTCGTCAAAGATCTTCAAGCCCCAACGGGAAAGTCTGAAGAACAGGAGGCGGTGACGTCCGACAGATTCTGGTGATGGATAGTGACCGGAGACAAAGTTTCAGTCTCAGTAATAAAAGAAAGGCAAACAAAATCAAGAGAAATTCGAGATCTTCCATGTGATAGACACGAGCCAGTGGCACTTGGGTGACGTGTGGCCTCACATCACTCATGATGAGATATGTGTCCCCAGAGAGCCAAGATCAGCCCCCACAAACTCATCCCGGGGCCCCTGAGGTGACGTACTCGCTGGGAGGAAGTCAGAGATGTGGACAGAGATTTTAACACATGGAAGGTCACTTCCATTTTATTTTAAATGGTAAAAAGAAAAAAAAACAGAAAGTATTATTTTAAAAGATTTTCCCCTTTCAGGAATTTTGAATGGAGACGTTGGAGCCAAACGTCTACCTAAAAATAGAACCGGGTTCTGGAAATAACAGTTGTGTCTGCCGCTCTCCGGTCAGTCCGCCTGCAGCTCCGGCTGCCCACAGCAGCAAGAAATTAACAACGACATCAGGAGGTGGACCACTCAAAGCATAGATGTCCCACAGGGGAATATTTAGCAGCCATTAAAAATTGAAGTTTATGGAGAACTTGTAACGCTGTCACAGGAAAAGAAAGCAAGACAGAGGGTTGGAGAGATGGCTCAGTGGTTAGCGCACTGGCTGGTCTTGCAGAGGACCTGGGTCCAATTCCCAGCACCCACATAATGGTTTACAACAGTCCATAATCCCAGAGATCTGATGCCCTATTCAGTGCCATGGTGCACTTTTATTCATATATGCAGGCAAAAGACTCAGACAAATAAGCTAAATAAATTTTTTAATTAAAAAAAAAAAAAAAGACAGGTCCCAGCACTTGGGAGGCAGAAGCAGGAGGATCTCTGTGAGTTTGAAGCCAGCCTGATCTACACATCAAGTTCCAAGACAGCCAGAGTTACACAGAGAAACCCTGTCTCAAAAACAAACAAAAAATAAAAAGGGGGGGGAAGCTATAGATTGTGGTACCACAGCACCTGTGCAAATGTGTATGCCCACACCCAGAGGGGAGGAAGGGGGTGGAGCTGGGGCTGGGAGGCTCTCCTTCTTCTCTTTAAATAGGTTTTGTGTTCTCAGTTTTTTTTTCTATAAAGAAAATTACTTTCTTTATAAAGTTTACAAATTTATAAAAGTATAAATTTCTTTATAAATAAATAAATTACTTAGTGAAAGTAAATCACTAATTACTTTCAGGAAAAAGCACACACTCGTCTGTGATCTTTACCTCAAAAGCGTCTGGGTCCCTAATTAGAAAGAATATCACAAAAATATAGTCACATAAGGGAGAGTGACCAAGAGGGCGGCGAACTGGAGGACAGCCGGGGCCACACCTCCTGGGGCCTTGAATGCCAAGCCCAGCGTCTTGAGCTACATTCCTCCTGCTTTCTCGGTGTGTTTGAAGGGAACTAAAGACAGGGGCTCTGGCAGCACAGCACAGATGGGGAGCTGGGGGACTGTGAATGTGTCTGGCCTCAAACTCCTGCCTTGATCTCCCCAGGGAAGAGTTTCACGCTCACAATCACCGTGTTCACCAACCCTACCCAAGTGGCCACCTACCACCGAGCCATCAAGGTCACCGTGGATGGACCCCGGGAACCCCGACGTAAGTGCCATTGAGCCCTGGCCAGGGCGAAGGGTTCAGGGGAGAAGGGGCAGCCCCCATGGCTTTGTGTCCCCCTCCAAGCGCTCACAGGGTCCCCGTCTTAAACCCGCTCAGCCCCAGACTCTGAAGGGTCAGCCAGGAGGCCAAGGTGGCTGAGCCTCTCTAGGGACAGCCTGGAAGAAGGACGGAACCATGGGGGGGGGGTAGCATTTGGGATGGGGACTAGGCCACTTTTCTCTGCACCCCAGTTGCCTCTGCAGTAATGAGGGATGGAGGGGAACAGCCACCCAGATTGGAGCTGGTCCCCTGTGCCATGCAGCCATACCTCCTCTGAAAACCCTGGCTCTTCAGAGCCCAGGCACGCCGGCTACAGGATCCACACAGACAAAGGCAGTTTGCCGTGTGCACTGAGCACCAACTGCGGTCAGGGAGTCTCAGGCCGTCAGAGTCAGCGTCTGCAGCAAGGGGTGGAATTGGCATGCTTCCTGCGGGGGCTCCTCATGACGGCTGAGCCAAAGGGTTTCCCTGTTCCAGGGAGGTGATGGCCCGGGCCTGATGGCTGGGGGCTTGTGGGGACCTTGACCTATGCCAGTGGGGATATGCTCCTGCCTCAGGCTTCCACTCAGGCTGGAACCCTACGGCTTGTAACAGGAGACCAGGTCCTGGGACCTCTGCTTAGTGCCCAGGAGACTCAAGAGTGTGGCTTGCACTCACATTGGTGAGTGCCATTCAGGCCTTGGAGTCAAGCTTGATTTCCCATCTAGTGCTCCAGCAGGTAGCTCTTGGGGAAAGTTTCTTTGCCTCAGAGTCACCTCCTCCCATCCCCCTTAACTGTAGGTCTTGGGCAGGTCACTTACAGCCTCATTTTTCTTGACTGAAGAATGGGTTTGCACACGCAGGCGACTGTACGGCCAGGAGACAGGCACTCAATGGCAGTCTGTCCATAACAAACGGTTTTGAAGGATGGAAAGGGTTCATGACCCCCCTCCCCCTGCCCCCCCGTGTCTGGTCCTTACCCCTGCACTCCCACCTCCACCATCAGAGGGTGTCCCATCCCCCTCAGGAGCAGCAGGGTAGCTGCCTGGAGCCTCATTAAGGGGGCCATGGCTCTGCACCCTGTCCCAAGAGCAGGCTCAGGGCTCAGCATGAAGGTGCAGCGCCCCTCAGTGGGGCTGGGAGTTAGGGACAGGATGGAGAGGCCCCAAGGGTCCAGACAATGCCGAGGTCCGAAGAGAGGTCCGAAGAGTTCATCTCTGTTCATCTGCTAGCTCAGTGTTTCCTGAGGCCTGTGGATGAGGATGTGGCCCAACCTGCCCAGGGGGCCCTGGGAGCCCCCCTGCCTATCTTCTCCTGGTTCCCCAACCCGCCACACCTTAGCTGGCCCTTTCTGATATAAGGTGCCTGGGAGGAGACAAAACAGGAAAAGGTAGCTGAGGTCAGAGGCTGGGATTGCTGTGTGGCCTCAGACACGTATTATCCCTCTCTGGGCCTTCTTTATAGTTCATTGTTGCAACAGAGCAAGGGGAGGGGGCTATTCATCAAGTTACCCCATCCTTGGTGCCGTTCTCCAGGCTACCCCATCCTGGGGACATGCTTACTCCTGCCTACGGCCTCCCTGGCCCAGAAATCAGGTCTCCACTGCCTAGCCTCTCGTCTCAACATGTTTGTCCTTACTCTTTGCTGGACTCAGTTTCCCTGTACCCCTTCCCTCCCACCCACCCATCCACACAGCCGAGTGACCCTGTATGCACAGCCTCATGCAGTCTTTCCATGAGCCAACCCTCAGTGACATCCCCCACCCTGGGAAGGTAGCGCCATTGCCGGAGGCGACCTTAGCACCTCCAGACTCCGAGTAGGTCTCCCAGAGGCACAGGCTGAGTGTGGTGGTGGGATTTAGGAGGACTGTGCGGTTCCTGACTTTTCACTATTGACCCACAGGAAGTGTCACAACCCTCTGAGACCTGACTAGCCTCCTGGCTCTCAGCTTTCTGTACCTTCCCCCTACTCCACTCCCAGACCCCCATGAGGTCAGAGCTTCTGTGGGTGGGTGGGGCCGGCCCCGAGTCCAGGAGCGGGAGTCTGCATCCCTGAGGCCCAGCTGTGGTTTCTGCGGCCAGGTCGTTCCCCTCTGGTGCCTTGCAGAGCGTGCCCAGGCTGCAGCCGGGTGGCCAACTGGGGCTGAGGCTGGCTCAGTGGCTTCCTGCCTGTGTGGCCTCGGTTTCTGATGCATCCCACCCAGTCACTGGGGATTGGTTCAAACGCAGGTTGCTGAGCTGGATTCAGCATGGGGATGGGATGGGAGGTGGTTCAGGCCCTGACCACACTGGCGGTGACCACAGTTTGGGAACAACCAGCCCCGTCCACCAGGCTCAGGTGCTGGGACCTACAGTGTGGGACCCGGCTTCCTCACCCTTCCAGAAGCTGAGGGCATGGTCTGGAAGCTTCTCTTCCTCTAAATGCACACAAAGCGATTCGCAGGCACCTGCCATTCCTCCAGCACTGTTCCATGTGCAGAGGCCACCACCCTGAACCCCACCTGCTGGTTCCTACCCTCCTGGGCCTCACATTCCGGAGGAGAGAAGGGGAAACAGGTTTTTCAGTGACCACGGTCAGGCCAAATCTGGTGGGGACCCCTCCTTCCTCTCTTGCACCCTCTTTCCCAACTCACCCCACTCCAGCTGCTGGCCTCTGCCAGGTACGCTCCTGCCTCGGGGCCTTTGCCCAGCTGCTCCTGTGCCAGAGTTATGCCTCCACACTGATCTGCATGCTCCGCCACGCCAGGGTTTTTGTTTTGTTTTGTTTTTTGTTTTTTCGAGACAGGGTTTCTCTGTGTAGTTTTGGTGCCTGTCCTGGATCTCGGTCTGTAGACCAGGCTGGCCTCGAACTCATAGAGATCCACCTGGCTCTGCCTCCAGAGTGCTGGGATTAAAGACGTGTGCCACCGCTGCCTGGCTAATGCCAGGGTTCTTTTCTTTTGCTTGTCAACCTCTTGCTCCTGGCCCTGAGGATGCCCACACGACCGTTTAGTTGGTTCTCCTTAAATAGGTCAGGAATGAGCTAAGTAAATAATGTGTTCATTTCAGCAAAGCTGGGAGGAAGCTGGAGTGGGCAGAGGGTGGGCAGTTGGCACGCGGGGCGGGGGGTGCTTCCTGGTGAGGTTCAGTCCTGAAGGAAGTGGACCAATAGCAGTGTGGCCTCTTGGGACTTGGTATGGGCAGGAAAAATGACCCAGTGTGACATACACGTGGGCCTTGGAGAAAGCTGAAGTGTGGTGTCATCCTGGACTCCAGATGTGGGGGAGCTGAAAGACAGTCTAGAGAGAAAGCCACACCTGGTCATTCAGTACCCCAGAGCCTGGGAGCACCCCACTAAGGCCTGGCAGATCCAGGAGGACCGACCCAGCAGAGGAGAAAGGGTTAACCTCAGACCTCCCAGCTCCCCTAATCAGGCCCAGGCCTGGAAGCCCCAGTTGCAGCCCTGGGCGGGAGCTACCTCCCTGCCACTGGCCCTCCGCCAGCCGGCCCGGCTTGCCTGCCCAGCCACCACTGGTTTTCATCTGCTCACAGGGGGCCAATTCACAGCAGACCACCCCAGGCCCGGCACCTGCCTGCCATCCGAGCGGCTGATCCGGTGTAAATCTCCCCACAGGCCGCAGAGGAAGCCGGCAGCAGGCGCACAGTGGCTGCTGTGTGTGGGTTGCCGGAGTGGCAGGCTGCAGGCCGGCTGCTGGGAAGCTCTGCACCAGCCCAGGGCCTGCTGCCTGGGGCTCACCTTGTTCCCAGGGTCCTGCCCGACTTGGCCTCTCCCTGCATCCCACCTCCTGCCTCATTGAGGCCAGCCATGGAGCTGGCCTCTTGCCAAGCAGAGCCCAGCTCTCCTCTGTCAGAGAACTCTGTGGGCTAGGCAGCTCATTCCAGGTTTTAGTATCACCTTGTGACCTTGGCCTGGTGCCTTCTCCTTTCCATCTGCGGGGGTGGGGGGCCGGGGCGCTTCACAGAGGGTTGTGGCCTTGAAGTTGTATGTGTGGTCCGCCTCCGCCACTGCCACCGCCAGGCATCCTGCTCCGCCTGCTGGAGGCAGGGGTTAACCCTGGCAAATGCACCAGGAATCTGGCAGGTGAAGGGACCCACGCTGTCCTGGTTGGGGACAGTAGGGGAATCCCAGTTGGACTACATAGTGTGTCCCTGGGGAGTCTCCCAGTTCGGGGGCTTTGACCTGTATCACCGGCCTGTGAAGTCGGCTGCCTGGGAGCTGTTGACCCAGGAGTGCCAGGCAGGTCAAAGCGGGGCTGACGCCTCCCCTGAAGGTCAGAGCCTGTGGGCTGTGTACGTCTCAAACCTGACTTCACCCTAAGAGTGTAGGGGAGGCTCTAAGCTTTCGTCCCCATTTCACAGAAGAAACAATGGAGGCCAGGTGAGAGTCAACCAGAGCCACCATTGGCTGTCTGCAATGGTCCTGGGACTGCTGGCCGGGGAGTGAGTTAGCTGAGGTCTACCCTCCCACAGACAGGGTCCAGGACACTCAGTGTGATCAAGGACCCCCAGCAGGAGCTGGCAGGCAGAGCAAGCAAGACCCTACAAGTCAGGGTCCCTTCCCCAGACACCCTTCTTCCCATGAGGACTTTACCTTTACCAAGCCCATCCACCTACCCCGGGGCAGGATGACAAGCACTTGACAGGTGTGGAAACTGAGGCCCGGAGGAAAGGAACCTGGGCTGCTGTGGCTGTGTGACTGGGACTCAAGCCTGAGTTTCAGAACAAGGCAGGACCCTCCTGGGCTCCACTGAGCCCCTGAGTCCTCGGTAGGGTTTCTATAGCTGAGATAAAACGTCTCGACCACAGGCAACTTGAGAAGGAATGGGTCTGTTTCATTCTACAGCCCTCGGTCACACTCCCTCACTGAGGGGAGTCAGGGCAGGAATTCAGGGCAGGAACCTGGAGGCAGGAGCTGATGCAGAGGCCGTGGAGGGGAGCTGCTTCCTGGGGCCTGAGAGCCGTGATGACGTAAATGATGTAAGATGATGTAAGCCCTTTCCTTCCCAAGCTGCTTCGGGTCATCATGTTTGAACTCAGCAACAGAAAATTAACTAGGATGCCCCGCCCCCCGTATCCCCTGCCCATGTTCCTCCCCACAGAGCGCACCCTGGGCCGGGCCCTACCACCATGTCACACCTTGAATTCACAGCCAGGCCCCTTCCTGAGATGAGCCCTGTGGAGAGGAGGTGGCCATTTCCCCAGCCTGTCAGTGGCTCTGCCCAGCCTTGCTGCTTCCCACCTGTACCGTGGGGGGCGCGTCCGTCCGTCCGTCCGGTCTCCCTCATGAGGCCGCGAGGGCCAGCAGCTGGTGTGGAGAAAGCTCCCTGTACCCAGCAGGCTCCGCTGTCTCCTGCCCTTGACTGCCCTCGGGGCTGTTTCACAGGGCTCTTAGGTTGGGCCCAGAGGACAGGGAGCCTTCCTGGCAGAGGCTGTCCCACACTAGGAGGACAGAGGGTATGAGAGAGGCCAGGCCAGTGGCAGCAGGAGGCCAGAGCTGTCCAGGAACCGCCTGCTTTCTTTCCACTGGGGCCTGGAGGCCCGTAGGACCAATGCTAACCCTCTTATGATTTTTAAGTCAGTTATTCTCCAAGGGAGGGGACCTAGGTGAGCAGGCTGTGCGGTGGGTGGGTGGGGGTGGAGGGGAGACTGAGGCAGCCAGCACAGAAGGGCAAGACCCCAAGTGGCTGAGGCAACCAGGCAGCTCCATGCTCTCATTGTGGGAAAAGGAATAAAAGGCTTTTTCTGTAGCCCTCCTCCCCGGGCACAGGCCAGGCACTTCCGTTCAGTTCTGCTCCCAGCATGAGGGCCTCAGCCTCGTGGCTCTGAGACTTTCTGGCGCCCTGGCCACGTGGGGTCAGCAGGCTCCCCTCTGCCTCTCCCTGGCAGGGGCTCCAGCATCGCACAGCCACATGAAGCAGTGCTGTGCCGTCCCCTCTTCCAGGGAGCCTGTCCTGGGCAAGCCACGGGTCCCAGCGACGTCTCAGGGTCTCCACTGACCCATGGGAGCTCCAAAGGGAAACCGTCCAGTAGGGGCACTGGGCCCGGAGTCAGGGATCTGGGCTGTCTTCCTGGTCACCATCCTGGCCCCAGTGTCCTGCTCTGTCATCTGCCTCCCCCCGTGGTCATTGTGGTAGGGACCCTGTAGCTCAAGGTGGAGGGAAGTGGGACCAGTGGGACCCAGGCCACACCTGTTAGGGCCCATCCTTGAACCCAGGCTGTCCCCAAGCCCCGCTCTCCTTCCGCTGGCCACAGGAGCAGCCGTAAACACACAGCACACTGTGACTCAGAACCAGGGGACTTTGCTCGTCACTGACGACAGCGGCAGGCCTGAGGTTTTGCACCAGCCTTTGTGTGGCCCCATTGGCTGCCCTGGAGCTTGTGGCTGACTGAGCCACCCATTTCCTAGCACCCCAGCTGTCATCTGGTCAACCCGTCACCTCCCATCTATCTGGTGGGCTTCCTGCCTGTTGAAATGGCTGGGAATCCACTGTCCCTAGCTCATCCACACATCCCTGCCATCTCCAGGAGCCTCGGAGCTGGGCTTTGGCACTTCTACTGAGCCAGAAACCACACCAGGGCACCATGATACCAGCCAGTCATCCTCAGTGAGGCACAAGCCTTCTATCCAGTCCCCAGCCACCTGTCTGTCTCTTCAGGTTCTTTCCCAGGCCTGGGGCCTTGGAGTCTGCAGCGCCAGTTCCAAGGCGCCCCAGGCCACACTTTCCCCTTCACTTCCCAGAGCCTTGGGGTGGTGACATCTGTGTCACCACTGCTGCTGTGTGTACCACTGGTTGTGGTTGGGGCCTTATGGGGGAGGACATCAGGGTTCCATTTCTAATGGTGACCTGGGACCCCCTGCTCAGTTCTGAGGCTCTCCTGAGTCCAGCTGGACCTGTGGCAGCCATGTGTGGGAGCTCTGAGATCCATGAGGACCCGGCACCTTTATGAATCAGGTTCTGTCCACAGCTTCTTCAGGTCCCTCGTCCCAGCAGTGGTCAGTGGTCATGCTTTTCAAGCCTGGAGTCACTGTCCAGTCTCAGGCACTCACCTTTCTGTCAATCTAGAAAAGTCCCTGTCACTCCAGACCCAAAGACTTCGGCAAACTTCTCATGCTAAACGCTCTTCTGACAGTTTCCTAGCATGCCCAGGTTTAGGAAGCCCCGCCATCCTGACCTCAGACAAGCCTACACACCTCTGAGAGGTGAGCTTGTGCCAGAGGAGACATTCAGAATCGCTTCTGTCAAGGAAAGGAGCAGGAGGCAACTGCACCTCCAGGGGATCTGACAGGCACGGTCAAGGGACATCCCGTGACGTGGCTGTTCTTGTCAGTCATGAGCTCTCCACGGCAGCAGGGAGGGCATTTCAGAGAGGCTGGCCACTGTCCCTACTTCACAGGTGAGGAAAGTGAGCTCCCAGGAGTGTCATGCCAAGAGAGAGTGATAGAAGAATATACCCAGGCTGAGGCCATTCTAGAAAGTTCCATGAATGGACTCTTCCTCCTCTGTTTTTCCGTGCACATAAACCCCAAAAGAGGTTGGAAAGAGAAACTTGAGAGTTGGTGAGGACAGGCCCATGGTGACAAAGGGGCCTTCCTTGGGGGCCAGAGTTCACCTATTTTTATTTTAGGAACTCCGTGTGTTGTTTAAGAAATGCAGGATGGGTGATGAAAGAGTGTGTGGCACTTAGTGTCGCCCCCAGGGTCCCTCAGCCACCAGCAGGTGCACAGCCAGCCCGCAGCTCCTGTGTGGGCTGTGGCTGTTCAGAGGGTGGTAGAGAGGACTGGTAGTCTCCAAAATGTGACACTCCGGCCGGGTGGTGGTGGCGCATGCCTTTAATCCCAGCACTCGGGAGGCAGAGCCAGGCGGATCTCTGTGAGTTCGAGGCCAGCCGGGACTACCAAGTGAGTTCCAGGAAAGGCGCAAAGCTGCACAGAGAAACCCTGTCTCGAAAAACCAAAAAAAAAGAAAAAAGAAAAAGTGACACTCCACCAGGCACATTGTCCCTTGGCCTTGTGTCTGGGCAGGGACCAGAAACCTGTATGTATACCCTCAATGACCATGCCTCTCTCTGCCCTCCTTTCTGAGGCCCCGAGGGGAAATGGGTTTGAGGGTGGCTAGGTTGGCCAGGGCTAGGTGGCCTCATGCCCTCACGGGGGTACATGGAGTGTGGGGATCTGCATGCTGCGGGGGTGAAGGTAGTATCGCCCCTGGGGGCTCCTCCTGACTCCTTGGCAATCCGACTGCCCGACCCATTCTTCTAAGCCTATTGCCTTGGTATTCTTTTCTGTCAGGCCATGTTGAGGAGGCTTAGGTAGTTCAGAGTCAGAGGTCTGGGTGTGATATAAGAATGACCATTCTGAGGAGAGGTCAGGCAGCCTGAGGTGGCACATAGCCATGTTTTGCTCAGAAAATTAGAGAGTTCCACAGAAGCCCAAGTTAGACTCCAGGAAGAACTTCCCAGCAGGGCAAGGCATTGCAGTGGCTGACGGGCTCCCCGTGCTCCACAGGGCACCGACAGAAGATAGAAGACCAGACCAAGGCCTTCCCCGACCGCTTCGGAGACCTGCGCATGCGTGTAGCACCAAGCACCCCCAGTCCCCGCGCCTCGCTCAGCACCACAAGCCACTTCAGCAGCCAGGCCCAGACCCCAATCCAAGGTATGGAAGAGCCGAGACCGGTGGGGGCCAGGCAGGGGTGCGGATGAGGAGCCAAGGTGTGAGTCCTCCGGGAAGATGTTTCCCCGGCTGTTTCTTCGTGGGCAGCCGGGGCAATCTGCAATCTAGACTACCAAGTCCACTCATGCCTGACCCTGGGATGAGTGTGAGCAGACGTGACCATTCCTCCCTCTGAAGCTCACTATTCCCTAGGGACATGGAGGTTATCCTGTGGTATGCATAAAGCCATGGCCTCCCTGCCTCCACTTGGCACACACTCCACTGCCTCAGCCTTCTCCTGGTGAGGGGAAATACCATGGGGACATCTCTCTCTTTTTTTTTTTCTTCTGAGACAGGGTATTTGTGTGTGTGTGTGTGTGTGTGTGTGTGTGTGTGTGTGTGTGTGTGTGTGTGTCCCTGGCTGTCCTAGAATTAGTTCTGTAGACCAAGCTGGCCTTGAACTCACAGATATCTGCCTGCCTCTGCCTCCCAAGTGCTAGGATTAAAGGCGTGCACCACCACAACCCCAGTGTGTTGGGGATATCTCTTTCTGGGGCTGGGTGCTGTTCACACCTGAAACTGTGACCTGAGGTGCCAACACCGCCTAGCTCAGCCCCTCCACCCAGTGTCACATGAATAGAGAGCACTAGGGTCGGACTTTGTCCCCAGTGCCTGGCTGCAAGCAGATCTCCCTGGGGTCTGTTATCCCGTGACGGGTGCTTGGCCGGCATTGTACTTCTGCTAGGGGTCAGGGACAGGAGGCTGAATGCAGCTGTCTCAGGTCAGGCAGGAGCAGATGCCGAGCCACAGAGGCCAGAGGGCTAGCTGCTGCCCTGTGTGGTACCTGTCCCTTCAGATCACCCGTGCTGTCTCGGGGTCAAGGTGGCAGATGAGCGAATTGAAGCTGGAGAGGGTTGGTGCCACCCTTAGGCCACATAGCCTTCTGGTGACCGAGTCCAGTGTCTCCCTGGGCCTGTCCTTAGGTGAGGACTTCTAAGCGTCTGAGAAGGGACCGAACATTAGGGCCAGAGTGGGCTGCATGCTGGCCCCTCTCTGGCCGACCGTCTGCCCTTCTCCACACTGGTCTTTCCATGAGGACGCATTGCCGGGGATATTAACCATGTGTTCTAGGCATGATACAGTGTCAGGGCATGGCGTCAGCCCTCAGTGTATCAGGAAGCTGGCCCAAGGTAAGGAAAGGCCCTGTCCCCAGTTTGCCTGAGCCCATGGGTTTGTGGGTTTGAGATTCGTCTTTTGAGCCCTGGGCCCTTGAGGTTCATTTCTGGCCTCAGTAAATGCCCTGCATCTACCTCATGCCCAGCCCTGTCCAGGTGCTTGTCCTTGCCCCAACCCCACAGGCCGGTACCTACAGAGCCTGACCTAAAAGGGATGGATGGAGCCAGGGACACCCCAAAGTCCAGCCTTGTCCAGCAAAGTCCAGTGCTTCCTGACCATCAGTTCCCATGAGAGAAGAGCACGTGGTTGCCCTGCTCCAGTGAGAGGGTGTGGCCTTGGGACTAGATGCTCCCAGGAGCCAGACTCAGCCTCCCACAGCCCCGGGCCTCACCTGGCCAGTGTGGCATGGATGGCCAGTCCTTCTCTTACTACATTGATATAGGACTCTTACACCCCCACGTTAACTCCAATGGGCCTTTGGTGTTCAGGAGAGGGTCCCATGTACTTTGTTGTCAGGTCAACCTGACCACTTCTAGCTCTGCCTCGCATTGGCTGTGTGACCTTAGGGAAGTTGCCTGACTTCTCTGAGCCTCGGTTTTCTCAAGTGAAAAGAGGTTAGAGTGGCTTTGGCGGGCTCAGATACGAAGAACCACACTCTCTGGTCCTCCGTCCTGGTGGGACCGGGTCCCAAAGGTCCCCCAGGATGCCTCACCGCATTCCTTGGTGCCTGTTAATAGCTTTGACCCCTGGCTTTGGTCACTGCAGGCAATGCCAAGGCTGGGAGGGGGGGCGCTTGCTGCAGGCGCCCACAATGGGGGCTTCTCACAGCTCAAAGGGCTCATTCAGCTGCACGCAGCAGCTGGGGCAATTTGGAGAAAATAAACATTTCCTCTCGCTGCTGGGTTGGCTGCTTGACAGTGGTCCCAGCAGCTCAGATTTCCTGGGGCTGGGAGGTGGAGGCCGAGGAAGCTGCCGAGGGTCCGAGGGGGTACCTAGGGCAGGTACTCCCCACCACTCCAGAGGAGAAGCTGGAGCAATGAGGAGAGGGGGAGGAGGGGACAGTGGCAGCCCCATGCACCCCAGTCCCTCCTCCACTGCAGGGCCACAGTCCCACTGTCCCCCACAAGTCTCCTTCAGTCTGCTTTGAGAACAGGGTCCCCTGGTAGCGGGCAGCAGTGTGCAGGGTCCTCTCATGTTGCTGGCACTGAACATCCTCTCGGCAGGACTCCTGGGTGTAGATGGACATCAGGTACCTCGACCTCCCAGACCAGCCAGGGCGTCCCCACTTTTCATTTCAGAAAGCTCCAGCTGCCTGACTCTTGTCTGTTCTCTGTACCTGGAGCCAGAGGCAGGCCTCTGTGGTCATCCATAGCCAGGCCCAGAGATGCTGATGCACACACCCCAGAGACCCAAGGAGTACCAGATACCTAAGGTCACCCGACACCTTGGGCCGACAGAGCCCAGGAAGCAGGAGGCCTGAACTCCCCATCCCCAGGCACAACTGGTCGTGGCCAGAGGGCCCACTCAGAGTGGACACCAACCCCTAGGGCCTCCCCTGGTCTTTTATCCATGATAGAGCAGACAACAGGCTGAGGCTTGGCAGGCCAAGCCTCTGGGCCACCACTTGGGTCTGTCCCGTGCCCACTGCTGCCAGGATATGAGGAGGGCTCCAGGTCAGGGTTTCATCTTATCGGGGTCCCAAACTCATCTTATCAGGACGGAGGACCAGAGAGTGTAACGGTGGCCGTAACAAGACAGAGCACCACAGGCTGCTGGACGTGGCTCAGTTTTCAGCGTTTTAAGTGTGTTAACAAATTTGATCCAGGTCCTCAGGGAATTGATGCACCGAGAGGTTAGGTGATTTGACCAAGGGCACACAGGGAGTGAGAGTCAAAGCCAGGAAGATTGACAGACTCCAGAGGTCCCATGGAAAGTCCTGCTGTCTCCACAAAGAGGCAGTGCCTACCAGGCCAGTGTTGGGACTCAGGACGTGTGCTCCGTGACCCTCATGCCTCTCCCTGCCTGGGTCCTGTTTTCCCACCCATGGGGTTAGGTTTGTTCCCAAAGCCCGTGTGAATGCTGGGATTGGGGACCTGTGATTATAAAAGTAGGTATACAGGTTGCCACACCCCATCTTAGAGCTCACTGAGAAACCCAGACCCCTGGTGCTGCTGTGTGGGGTCTGACTGCCAGGCTGGGGTCTGGACCCCCAAGTGCCTCCAGTAAGTGTTACACTATGCATGTAGTTGTATGACCACCAGGTAGCTCCAGCCTGTGGGGCAGCCTTAGAAGACATAGGCTCAGGAAGTGGGGGTGAGGACCAGCAGAGCCCTCTCCCCAGCCAGGACACCACTCTACCTACATGTGTGCCCATCCAGAGGGCATGGGGATGCCTTGTGCTGCTGCCCAGCCTCGCTTACTTAGCCCATGGCTGTCCCCGAGATCAGAGGTGCCATGTCTATGTCACTGTCCTGCTGAGAGCTGTCCTGACCTTCATCTGATGCCCTGACCCCCTCGACTGGGCAGTTTACAGACAGGAGCTGTTTATCACACACACACACACACACACACACACACACACACACACACACACACAGTGACCCCAGTGGAGAATAGAGGCCATCTGGAGCATTCCAGCACTTTCTGTGCATTAGGGAGGAGATCAGCCTTTATCTCTGCCTCAGTTTCTTCCTCTTCAGAGGAAGGTCCCGCTCCCAGTCTCACTGGGCCCCTGAAGACCCTATTCACACCCTTGATCTTGCCTGCTCTTCAGAGTGAGCTTGTGGGGAGCCCTGTCTAGTACCTGCCCTAGCAGGCCGGGAAGGACACTCAGGCCGAAGGAGGGCTGTCCCCTCTGCTTTGGCCCAGAGCTCCACTCCCAACCTAATCTGCAGCGAGAGTTCCCAGAGCACAGCCCTGCACAGCCCAGCCCAGGCAGAGGAAGGGGTCCCCGGGAAGGTCACCCCACGGTGGCAGAGGTCCCCTGGTGGTCCTAGCCTGCGCACCTGACCGGCCCCCCTCTTGCTGTCCCCAGGCTCCTCAGACCTGAACCCCTTCTCGGATCCCCGCCAGTTTGACCGCTCCTTCCCTACGCTGCAAAGCCTCACGGAGAGCCGCTTCCCGGACCCCAGGATGCACTACCCGGGAGCCATGCCTGCCGCCTTCCCCTACAGCGCCACGCCGTCGGGCACCAGCCTGGGCAGCCTGAGCGTGGCGGGCATGCCGGCCAGCAGCCGCTTCCACCACACCTACCTCCCGCCGCCCTACCCCGGGGCCCCGCAGAGCCAGAGCGGGCCCTTCCAGGCCAACCCCGCGCCCTACCACCTCTTCTACGGCGCCTCCTCCGGCTCCTACCAGTTCTCCATGGCGGCTGCGGGCGGTGGCGAGCGCTCGCCCACCCGCATGCTGACCTCCTGCCCCAGCGGCGCCTCGGTGTCTGCGGGCAACCTCATGAACCCCAGCCTCGGCCAGGCTGATGGCGTGGAGGCCGACGGCAGCCACAGCAACTCGCCCACAGCCCTGAGCACGCCGGGCCGTATGGACGAGGCCGTGTGGCGGCCCTACTGAGCACCCTGGGGACTCGCGGGCCACCCGGACCGGCCCTCCAGCTCCAGGCTACAGCAAGAAACATACTTTGGCCTAGTCCCAGGGGCCAGAGCTGGCGACGGCTCCCAGAGCTCTGTCCAGCAACAAGTTTGAACAGAGGATGTGGGGACTTCCCCCAGGACACTGCCCCAGCCCACACCCACCTCTGTTGTCTCCAGCCATGCCTAGGATTATCTCCTGAGTCAGAGGCTACCCCTGCCCATGAGGAAGGAGGCCTTTGCTGGCTAGAAAAGCTCAGGCTCAGAGATGTCCAAACTTCCTCTCTCTCTCACCCTGCACCCCGGGGACCAGCCTTCCCTCTGCATTGGTACCCCCTCAAGCCAAACTGGAAACCCCAACCCCTGAGATGACTTCACTGTAGAGAGGGAGGACCCAGGACACACCCACACCAGTCCCAAACTTGACTTCCCCATTATTCCAGGCAAGCAGTCCTTGACCAGTTCTAGCTTAGCCAAAGACACCGGGCCCCAGAGCAGTCCCTGGTGGCAGGTCCCTAAAGGGAGGAAGGCCTCAACACCTCCAAACACATTCCAGCCTGCAGGGTCAGCTCGGTTCTCAGGGACAGAGAGGTCCCTGCAGAAAGTGTTACGGTGGGAAGCAATGGAATGGTCAGTGTCCCTGCTCACTAGGCTCACTAGGTCCAGCCCAGCTGTGTCCCAGGCCCAGGCCTTGCCTGCCCAGGCCTTGCCTCCCAATCTGCAGTCCGACTCCCTAATGTTTGTACCTAGAAGCAAACAACCTTGAAGCAAAGGAAAAAAGCGACTTCATCGAGCATTTTTAAAACAAGGTCCGTGACAGGTGAAGTTTTGCCGATCTGAAAGGCCCGCCTCTGCTAGTGAGATATCAGCAGACTCCTGCCACCCTCAGACCTCACATTCCTCCCAGAAGGGGACCAGGGCCTCCAGGAGGCCTTGTGGAGGCTCTGGTGAGGTGTGCCATGGCAGAGCAGTGTCCAAGCAGAGGTTAGACAAGGCCCCCCTTAGATCTGGCAGGTGGGAAGGGAGGCCTTGGCCTAGGGCTTGGGTCATGGGGACTGTGGGAGATTGTCAGTGGGATAGGTTAAAAAGCTCTGACCAGAGCTGGCCCACAGGTGGGTTTTCAAACTGAGTGAGCCACAACCTCTGTGGCCTTGGAACTCTCCTCTAGAAGGCTCCTTAGAGATGGTCTCTGTGGTCGTGCTTGGCCTTCCCCATGGCCCACACCTGTAACCACATACATGTACACTCCGGCAGGTCAGGGGGACCTGACAACGCTGTGCAGACACCTCCTGTTACAATTTCTTTTGTCCCAACCTTGTTGGGGGGGGGGAAACCCAAAACATTTTCTGTCTCTTGGAAGTAGCTGAGTAAGCCTTCCAGCTCCTGCACCCAGACGGGCCTCTTCACCTCTTCTCAGGAAGCAGCTATAGCCCATTGCCCTCCTGCCCGCCTCACTACTGGCCCAGACTACCAAGGAAGACACCTTCAGGATCCTAGTGCCCAGCACTGTGCAAGCCACCCCAGACGACTACCCTTCCTGACATCCAAACACAGGTGGAGATGGGAAATCACACACACACACACACACACACACACACACACACACACACACACACACACCATTACTCCTCTTTCCCATCCTTGATCTTGATTATCAGTGACAGCTGAGTCTGTTGTCCGTCCCACAGTGAATACAGGCAGCCTGGGCTGGTAAAAATGGTTCCTTATTTGCAAGGCTACTTTAAAGTGCTACTTGAAAGCACTGGCTAGAAAGAAAGCACAAGGAAGCTGAGGGGGCTTGATACAATGTCACTGGGAGGGGTGGGTGGGTACTGATCCTTTGTGACATTGTTACCCTGAAGTATCCTACCTGCTGTGAGCAGGTCTTCCTGAAGCGGGCTCCGAGTTGAGGGGGAGGGGAGGGCCTGCTTTGCACTATAGGCTGCTTGGTGTGTTTGTTTTTTATGCACAACTTGCTTGTACAGTCAACTGCCCATCTTGGGTACTATTTAACTGTAAAATGAAAATTGTATTTGTTACAATAATATAACAGATGCCTTGAAGGACCTGTGTCAGGCTTCTGGAGTTGTGAAGGTGGGCGGGACCACCTTCTCTTGGGCAGGAGATAGGGGATTGTAGGACAAGGTTGAGCTGGCTGTGTGGGAAGTCCTCCATCCAGCTCCATCGGGGTAGCTACAGAGACCTGCCCCAAGTTCCAAGATCCTGCCCTGTTACAGTATTAGCTTGCCTAAGATCCATCCCCAGCAGGAAGTTCCTGTTTTTCTACCCTGGACTATGGACCCTTTCCTACCCAGCAGCACCTCTGCCCACAGGATTCTGGCCACAGCTGCTGCAGGACCTGTCCCCAGGTACACCCTGAGTGGGTCACACAGCAGGACCTCTCCTTGAGTTAGAAGCAGTGTCTTCCCAGCCCACAGTCTTTTATTTGGTTTATCTGAGGGTGGACCTGAAGGTGGCCTCTACACCTGAAGAACAAGACCCCTGACTTTAACTCCGGTCCCCTGTACCCCACATGTCCAAAGGAAACAGACCAAGGAGTCCTGGGCCAGCTGGAGGCAGAGCCCGGGGTGGGGGGTGGGGGAGACACCATGCAGTTACCTCTGCAGCCTCTGGGTGGCGGTAGGAGTGGAGCAACACTTACCCGACTCCACCAAATCTCCACCACTCCCCCCAGCCCCCTGCTTTGGAGAGGAATGTGGGCTGATATTAGGAAGGACTCCCCAGCCTCTGGATAGTTGCTCTTGCCCTGCCCAGTTCTCCCCACCCAGCAGTGGCAGGTTGACAGTAGCAGCTTCCTGCCTCTGCCCTTCAGAGACACCCTCCTGGTCACATGTCACAGTCACAGTCACAGGCCCTGAGCTCCCACCAGAAGACAGGGACCTGCAGGGAAGAGCTGACTTCTGGTTAGGAACGCTCCACTCTGAAGCCCCAGTCAGTTTTATGCACTTTCCAGAATCAAAGGGTCTGACACAGCCAGCCCAGGTGAGGACGTCAGTCGGCTGCCAGCCTGGAAACCCCGAGGTCCTCACGTCTCATCTGACAGATGAGAGCCAAGGGATCCACTGACTTGATGATCTGTGACTGGCTTAGTGGCAGACCAAGAGGCAGTTCCCAGAAAGGACCCAAGCCTGGGACATCAGGCCTGGGATGGCTTTGACTCTTGTCCTGAGAAGTGTACATCCTGTCCAGGGAAAACAGGCCTGGGGAAGCTGATGCTGTGTGGCATGACCTGACACAGACCCACATCTGCCTCTCTTCTCAACTAGCACCCCTCCCTGCCCCAGACTGCACTCCCACAAGCAGCCAGACCCCCAGCATGGACCCGGAAAGGGGCAGTTCTCCGCTGTACCCCACACCCCGGCTCGGAGCACTTCAGTGGCTCTGTTCATCTCAGGGTCATAAATGAAATGAGCTGTCAGAGGAGCCGAGTGTAAGAACAACCCTCTCTGGCAGGAACCCAGACCTCCCCTGACTCCTCCCCATGGGGGCTGTGCAGAGTGAGGGCTATGTCCCCCCAATATCCGCTGCTACACCTGTGTGGTCCTGGCCAGGGAAGTCTGGGAAGCCGGATTCCAAGCTTCCTATTTTTAGTTTGCGACGAAGAGTGGGCTGTTTGTTTTATATATTTATATCGACCACAGAGTGCCTGCCCGAGCCCGCCAGAATGCAGAGGGGTGGGTGGCCCTGGTGTCAATGCCGCTTCCCTGCTGTGCCCCAATGCTGCAAATGCCCAAGACTCCTTGGTACTCTGGTGGGTGGCTGCCATTGGCCACATAACCCTGCTCTGCTCCTGGGGACAGTATCTTCAAGGCTTTGGCCACAGCTTATGCAGTCACTGCCCAAGTCCAATCTGCAGAGGAGCAAAGTCACAGCAAAGCAAAGCGCTCCTCTCAGGACAGACAGGGGGACAGCAGATTGGAACAAGCACAAAGGCTCGGAGGAGGAGGTGTCTCTCCCCACTCAGACAAGATGGAGGATGAGTAGATCATAGGGCAGGCAGACAGCCTTCTCCATCCATAGCCTTGTATGTAAAGGTCTGGGGATCGGCTTGGGGTAGCTGGAGAGGAGAGTGAAGAAGGGGAGCTGGCCTTGGTCATGGGGCACAGAGGAGCCAAGCTGAGGGGTGTGGGGGATAAAGTGAGAGCCACAGAGAGAAGCGTGCTTGCCGGTCTCACAGTGGTCTGAGCACAGGAAGGGAAAAGCCGTGCGCATCGGAGCAGGAAGAGCTGGACGATGTCATCGATACCTCTAGTCCTGACGTCACAAGAAGGACTCCATGCCACGACCGTTGTCGAGTTTGGACAAGCTAGCATTGTGTAGTCCTGGCTGTCCTGGAACTTGCTTCGTAGACCAGACTGGCCTCAAACTCACAGAGATCCACCTGACTCTGCCTCCAGAATGCTTAGATCAAAGGCGTGCGCCACCTTGCCTGGCCAGGGTGAATGGTGTTAAACGGAATCATTGGAACAAGGTCTTAGGAGTAGTCATTGTTCCTACTCAGCTCTTTTGGGACTTCCCCATCCCTGTGTCGGTTTCCTCACCACAGGCCTCTGACCACCACCAAGATCCTGTGTAGCTCAGTCTGATCCAGCCATCCACCGTCTGCTGGAGTCTGAGGATGTGGAGGTTATGAGAGACAAGTCCCAGGTCCCCATGTTTATGTATTACATCTAAAATACTTCTTTTTCAAGAGGCAGGGTCTCATGTAGCCCAGGTTGGCTTTGAACTCCTGATCCTCTTCCTTCCACCTCCCAAATTCTGAAATCACAGGTGTGAACCACTCCTGGCTAAATAATGCTTTTTAAAGTGGCATTAAATAATTCTTAATCATGGAAGGAAAAAAATAGAGCAATACAGATTCCTAAAAGGAATGCAAGGAAATGTACTGATAATTTCAGTCCCTCCAAAGGTGGCTATTATGAATATTTTGAGTTTTCTCACATTCAGATCTTTGTCTTTTATCAAATATATTAATTCTTTTTAGAAATAAATCTTTCTAGTCATTTACACTGTGCATTGTTTATCAAAAAAATTTTTTTTGGCTTTTCAAGACAGAATTTCTCTGTGCAACAATCCTGCCTGTCCTAGAACTATCAATGTCGTTTTAAAACTAGATAAAGAGCCAGGCACAGCGGCTCACACATCCAGCACTCAGGAGGCAGAGACAGGCAGATCTCTGTGGGTTTGCAGCCAGTCTGGTCTACAGAGTGAGTTCCAGTTTCCCATGTAGTGAGGCCTCAAAGCCAGAAGGAAGTCCCTTTAGGGGTTAGCAACTGGCCCCGAGGGGAAGCAAGACAGTTGTCGTTCTCCTGTGCTGGGCCTCCCATGACATAATTTTGCTATAAAAACCATCATCATCAGAGAAGGAAGAAGTAGAGATGAGAAAACATCCTTTCTTAGAAGCAGAAGCAGGAACAGCTTGAGTCTGGGGATGAGGCTCCACAGAGGAGCACTTACCCAGCATGCTTGGGGCCTGGTTTCCATCCCCACCCCTGCACAAACCAAACAGGGTACTCAGGCTTATAATTTCAGCACTTGGGAGGCAGAAGCGGGAGGCTCAGGAGTTCAAGGTCAGTCTCAGCTACATGGTAAGTTTGAGACCAGCCTGGGCTACATGAGACCCTGTCTCCAAAAAGAACAGTAAAGAAGAAAGAGAGAAGACAAAGAGACAGATAGATAGACAGACAGACAGATAATGGAGATAAGACAAATGATAGAAATAGGTTACACAGAGAGATGATGGATGGATGGATGGATAGATAGATAGATAGATAGATAGATAGATAGATAGATAGATAGATAGATGATAGATACATAGATACATAGATACATAGATACATAGGTAGATAGATAGATAGATAGATAGATAGATAGATAGATAGATAGATAGATAGATAGATAGATGATAGATACATAGATACATAGATACATAGGTAGATAGATACATAATGAAAGAAAGATAAATAAAGATGCAAAAAGGCTATTTATAGTCCCTTCTCCACCTTAGAAAACAAGTTGTCTATCTTTATTTCACAAAGCATGAAGTTGGAAGTAAATTCACACCCCCTGAATTCCTGGTAACCCCCAGCTGTTCTAACACTCTGGCCTTAAGTTCAGGCCTCTTCCCATAGGGAGTCTCTGCCAAGATGACTGCCTTCTCCAGCCTCAAATAGGCTCAAATCACCTATGCCTAAAATTTAAAAACAACAGCAACGAAAGAAACCCCCCCCCCCAAAAAAAAAAAGTCCATCTCATCATAAAAGGGATCCTAGCCAGGCGGTGGTGGCACACACCTTTAACCCCGGAACTCGGGAGGCAGAGCCAGGCAGATCTCTGTGAGTTCGAGGCCAGCCTGGTCTACTGAGTAAGATCCAGGACAGGCACCAAAACTACACAGAGAAACCCTGTCTTGAAAAAAAAAAAAAAAACCACACCTCAAAAATAAATAAATAAATAAAATAAAATGGATCCTAGTACACTGGAGTTCTCCTGGGAGTGGAGAAGTGACCTTGAACAGAAGCACCTTCCAGCCCAGCCCTGGGAATGCTGGAGACCTGAGAAGTTGGATTTCATTAGTGGAATAACGGCAGCCATGGCTCTGATTGGCCCCTTGCTTCCAGACTGTGGAAGCTTTCCAGAGCCTGGTGAGCTCTGGTTGTTTTTTGCTTCTTGTTTTTCCCCATGTAAAATGGGCCCAGCCCTCACAACCTGTATCGCCTTGAAGGACGGGAGTGTGGGCACCACTAAAATCCTGTCATCTAAAGTCAACACCAGCTGGAGACCCCTGGCCCCGGTGCCTCTGGGGAAATGAGTTAGCGCCACACCGACTTTGTAAGTTTTGTACATGTCATAAAAGCCCAGACGTTCCCCACACATGAAGAGACGCCCTTTGTACATCTGCATTTGTAAACAGTAGACCTCAAGGTCTTCAGGGAACTTTGGGTGTACTGCTGAGCCACCTGGGGTTTTGACCCCTTTCGGCCAGGTGTGGTGGTGCATGCCATAATCCCAGCCCAAGCCTCAGTTATGTAGCAAGTTTGAGGCCAG